GTTTTTGTGTTCCAAAATTTTTTTTTTTTTTTTTTTTTTCAGGGAAATTTAAAACAAAATCCACACAGCATAATACATCATATATGGAACATGGAACATGTTATTGTAACTTTTTACTTTATTTTAGTTTGTTATTTTGTTTTATTCTCAAGGGAATATAAAGCAAACTTCAAACAGCGTAATAAATCATACCTGGAACATGGAATGTTTTATTTTATTTTATTTTCAGGGAAATTTAAAACAAAATCCACACAGCATAATACATCATATATGGAACATGGAACATGTTATTGTAACTTTTTACTTTATTTTAGTTTGTTATTTTGTTTTATTCTCAAGGGAATATAAAGCAAACTTCAAACAGCGTAATAAATCATACCTGGAACATGGAATGTTTTATTTTATTTTATTTTCAGAGAAATTCAAAACAAAATCCACACAGCATAACACGTCATACGTGGAACATGGAACATGTTTTTGTAACGTTCTATTTTATTGTATTATTTTATTTCGTTTTATTTTCAGAGGAATATAAATGTATTTATTTTATTCAGGAATATTAAAACTTTAAAAATTAATCATAGGCGTTTGGTTATTAAAGACTTAAATCCACACAGCATAACACGTCATACGTGGAACATGGAACAAGTTTTTGTAACTTTTTATTTTATTTTATTGTTTTATTTTATTTTCAAGGGAATATAAAGTAAACTTCAAACAGCGTAATAAATCATACCCGGAACATGGAATGTTTTATTTTATTTCATTTTCAGAGAAATTCTAAACAAAATCCACACAGCATAACACGTCATACGTGGAACATGGAACATGTTTTTGTAACGTTCTATTTTATTGTATTATTTTATTTCGTTTTATTTTCAGAGGAATATAAATGTATTTATTTTATTCAGGAATATTAAAACTTTAAAAATTAATCATAGGCGTTTGGAGATTAAAGATTAAAAGCGACAAGAAACATTCATTCTCTTTGCTACACAAAGGTTACAATAGCCAAACAGTTATCTTTTAAAATAAAAATGCACATATGGACATTCAATTATATATACTGTATAAACATTGTACAAATTGTAAAAAGAAAAAAAATGAATAAATAAATACTTAAAAAAATATTATCATACAATGTATCAGAAGCTGCATGATCACTGGTCAGGTGCAAACAGGTTGAGACATGTAGTGTGCGTACCAAAGGACAAAAAACTTCACTATGCAGTGTTTATTTTAAAAACACTACTTAAGGGAATCTGTATTTTCTATGAAAACAAATCAACTCAGTTTCTCAGTTCAGCATTAAATGTTATTTGTGTTAGGGTATTTAAATAGCCCATGCCCACAGTTCCCTTTTCCATAATAGTGTCTATGGTACGGAAGTTCTAAGCGGCCATGCATTATTTTTTTTTTTCCTTCTTGTTTTCTCGTTATAACGACTTAATTTTCTCGTTATATCGACATAACGAGAGTTGTTTTCTTGTTATAACGACTTAATTTTCTCGTTATATCGACATAACGAGAGTTGTTTTCTCGTTATAACGACTTATTTTCTCGTTATATCGACATAACGAGAGTTGTTTTCTCGTTATAACGACTTAATTTTATATATAACAAAAATGTCTCTTATTTGTTTAATTCGAATATAGCGAGAAAATAAGTCGTTATAACGAGAAAACAACTCTCGTTATGTCGATATAACGAGAAAATTAAGTCGTTATAACGAGAAAACAACTCTCGTTATGTCGATATAACGAGAAAATAAGTCGTTATAACGAGAAAACAACTCTCGTTATGTCGATATAACGAGAAAATAAGTCGTTATAACGAGAAAACAAGAAGGAAAAAAAAAATAATGCATGGCCGCTTAGAACTTCCGTACTACGGTGCATATATATTTTTTTTTTGTTTTTGTTTGTTTAGCTTATTTTAACTTGAGCGCCACATGTTTTATGTCCATCTAGTGTGTGTTTCCATAGAAAAATAACTTTAAAAAAAAAGTGTTCTGTGTGAACAGCCCCTTACACTCACACTAAACACCAACAAACCCATGTGCCAACAGCAGTGACATCAGATCTGTGAGCACAATCAATCATTTCCTTTACTAAGATGCCAAACACGAACCCATTTGGAGAGGAAATGACCTTTTACTTTTGAAAACACAAATTAACATCCATCCCATTCTCACACCAGTCACCGCTGGCCACAATACAGGAACGTCTGATCACGAAGTCAACAATGAAAGGCATTGAGTGTGGAAATAATGGCACATCTGTGTGTCGGGCGAGATGTGCCATCCAGCTGCTGGCAGGTAAACAGAGACGGGCCTGTCCCGCCACAGCATGTGATGCCAGGAAACATATAAAAAGACCCACCGGCAAATGTGTGATTCAATGCGCACACTGACATTTACCACTTGGTTTCAATTTGTTCGGCATCCACCTCTTTTATCCAAGATGAGAATTAGTGTAGCCATAATCCTCCTTGTTGCAGTGGCAGGTTTCCACAGTGGTAAGATTCAAATATAACATCATACATTTGTATTGATGTCTGTGTAATTTATCTGTTATCTCTCTCTCTCTCTCTCTCTCTCTCTCTCTCTCTCTCTCATGCCAGTTTTGAACAAAAATGTCTCTTATTTGTTTAATTCGAATAAAACTATATCATTATTTTATATTGTTATATTTTTATTAATATTATTATATGATGTTTGTCATTTTTGTTGAACAGGAAAATATATATATATAATATATATATACACACATTTCTGTCACTTGTTATTTTTAAATTACTATAAAACTACATTATTACATTTTTATTAATATTATTATATGATGTTTATATTATTAACCCTCTATAAAATGAAAAGTTATTCATACATATTACTTTTTTTTTCTTTCTCTTTTTTTCTATTTATAGTTTTGTTTTTTTGACCGTTTGTTTTTTATGAACTATTAATATTTATTCAATTTTATTTTCATTTCTTATTTTATTTTCAGCGCACATAGCATAATACATCACACCCGTAACATGCTTTTGCATCTTTTAATTGAATTGAATTTCATTTTATTTTAGTACATTTATTTATTTACATTTATTTAAATATGTAAATAATTTTCTAAAAATGTTTAAATATATATTGCATTTTTATTGTTAGTTTTGACAGTTTATTTTTTATTAACTATTATTATTTATTCAATTTTATTTTCAGGGAAATTTAAAACAAAGTACACATAGCATAATACATTAAACCCGTAATGTTTTTGCAACTTGTAATTTAATATCATTTTATTTTAGTTCTGTTTTGACAGCTTATTAGCTGTCGAAGTTTAATAGCTCTTAAGCAGATGGAATGATAGTTAACATACATTTTTAATGAAGACAAGTCACTAATAACCATTTAATTCATCCTCAATTAGTAATAGATGGCCAAATAGCCAGCATTTGATACATTATCTGCTTGTGGAGTAATATAAAATCAGTATATGACAGAAATTAAATTATACTTGTACATTTTTGTGTTTGTAGTGATTTCAGCATCACTGCAATGTGATGAAAGGACTAAATTGCCAGAAGAGAGAGGTAACACTGTTTCCAGCTTGATTTGCATATTATTACAGTCAAAGATTTAGGAAAAAAGACAACATCTGTTCTCTGTTTTGTCTGACCTCAGCGTTTGAAGAGAACAGCATGACTCCACAAACAGGTGGGTCATTATTTCTCATGCCAGCCTGCTTTGCTCAGCGTAACTTCTGCTGGTTCTAGAGGTCACTGACATGACTCACTAATATGACTTATCACGGACAGATGCTTATATTGTAACTGTACGCTCAGATTCTCACAAGCTGACGTCATTTCATATCTGTTTCCTCAGATGGGTCGGAGTATGAGGCTGCTCATGTGAAAGGTAAATGGCAAGCAAATCAAAATGTGCGTTTAGGGCCATTTGCTCACACTCAATATGCTCTGACTCGCTGACAGGATAAATAGGAAGACATTTATGAGTGAGAAAAGTCTTGTTTTGTTATCATCTGAATCATCTGAACCCTAACAGATGGAGAGACAAAGGCTGTGACAGACACTACAGGTAAAGAGAATGACTTTCAAAATGTTATTTTCATATACATTCAGTACAGAACATAATCGATCATACAAATATATATGTAACATGGATAGATAGATAGATAGATAGATAGATAGATAGATTTATTAAACATTAAATACTTAATTGCATTTGATGAATATAAATATATATATTACAGAGGAGGAAGATGATGAAGACTCAGAAGGTAAGAAGTCTCATTTATCTCCCTTTTGTTGCTCAAGATCATTGTTGAAAAACATTGATTCATATTTGTGGTCATGAACTGATTTTTACAGAGCAAAAATTGCTTGAGAAGGAAGATAGTGATGGTAAGATGACACATATCTGTTACCTGTCATAAAGTTCGAGTATAGCATAGAGCAAATGATATGCACTTAGCATTATAATTGGTAAATTATTATAATTAATAATTGCTATTCATTTGTCTGTTTATAGGCTACTCTCTGAATAACCCTATAGATGGTGAGAGAGAGGCGCTAACAGATGCTACAGGTAAAGACAAAGACATTTTCCAGAACTTTATTTTCTAGGAAGATACACATTCACACTCAAATAGAGTCTGAAAATTAATTTCTAAATAATTAGTGAAACTGTTCATTGTCCAGCGTTAAGATGTCAAGCTATATATTACACGATCTGTTTTATTTTGTGTTAATGTTATATGATGTTTACAATGTTTTGTGCAAAATGTAGGAAAAAAAGTCTTTGGTGAAGTTATCAAATTTCATATCACAACTGTTGAAAGGCCATGACATCTGTGGTGAAACAGGCTAAATTTACCATATTATTGGGGGGGATGCAAACATTTCATCTGTTTAAAAACTAGTGTTTTTTTTTGTGGAAACAAAGTGTTGTTGTACTGAGCCACATGTGACGAATTCTCTGCGTCTCTTACGCAATGCTTGCTTTGACGCAGGAGCGAACACCGGAAGTGACGCGCCCATAGGTAGGTGTACCTCGGTGTGATTCCATTCATCACCACGCGAGGGCAGCAGTCCGTCACTCTCAATGCAGCCTGGCCTTTGCAAGCAGATCATGTGAACTGACTGTGATTTTGTTTATTCAGATTCAGACTCTGAGGACTACAGTAAGTAAATTCATTTAAATGACAGTATAGTGCAAACAAAGACACCAGTACAATGTTTCCTTTGTGTTATTTGATTTCTATGATTATCTCAGACAATATTAATATAGTACACGGTGATTAGTCTTTATACGGTGGTTATACTGTATGTTTATTGCTGTAGTATTTCCCTGACTTATGTAAAGTTATGTAACACGTGTCTCTTATTGCACAGCCTCTCAACAGAACACAGGTAAACGCTTCACATTACATTATTTGTATACATAATTAAAGAGGAAAACAGTTAGTAGTCTAAGATGCGTCCTTTCATTAAAATTCAATGATTTTTGGTCACGTGTGTGTTTCTTCTCTTGAAATTGAATGGCTGACTTTTTGACTCCTGCAATTATAATAGCATTTTGATGATTGACCACATATTTTATATAGTCTCCTTGTTTCCAGTCCTTAACTTTTGTGTTTTGTTCTTCTTTAGAACACAGTGAGCAGGTTGAAGAGAATGTGAAAAGTTATGGTAAGTTGTTAATCCAGCAAATGAAATCAAGAAATGTAAAAAAAAAAAAACAGTGTTGGGGACTGATTCTTACAAGATGCCAATTGTATTAAAAATACATTCAAATTATATATAAAAAAAAGAAAAGAAAAATAAATTCAAATTACAATTTTTAATTTATATTAATGTGACCTTTCTTTCTAGAGGATTTCAGTGATGAAGAATATGATGTATATTACAGTTCTTAAGACCGTGTGAAGCAGCTGTGTGGAATCCATCTTACATCTTTATTAAAACCTAAATGCATTGTTTTATAAAGCATATTGCAAAAAATTCTAACCAACTGTATGTACCACCTGGACAAAAACATGCATGGTGACCTTTCACACAATTTGTGATTTTTTTTTCGTCAAATAAAGACTGTAAACACTGGCGGGTGTCCAGCGTTCATATTAATGCCAGGCTACAGGTGGGTGTAATAACAGATGATTACATGGCTTCTTAGAGGCAACAGTCTGAGTAGCAGATGTAGGTAGTTTTAGAACATATCTAGGACGGTTATCCAGGCCAGCACCGTCTAGTCCTTGGGTGCTCATTTGAGCTTTATTTATATCATCTGCATTGTCCCATCTTATTTTTGGACCAAAGATGCATCATTGCCTGTCCCCAAGTCCCACAACCTGATGAGGACAAGCTGTTTTACTGCATATAGAAAAGGACTCTTAAACTTGCTTTTTGTCATTTTTGAGGGAAATGTTGATAGTTTTGTTGCTAAATGCATGTCTCGTCTGATACGATCATTCTTTTAATGGCCAAAATATAAATGTGTAGTGTTTTGCCTGATTTTAAACCAGAAATACAATTAAAATGAACTTGAAATTAGGCATCTAATATAAATATACACATAAACAATATATATATATATATGATACTGTAGAAATATAGATTTAATATATATATGAAACAACATTTTAGAATTATAAAATGATTATATAATTTCTTAAGAACAAGAAATTTCTTCTTTTGAAAATTAATAGACAAAGACAGGTGATACTGGAAAAGACATTTATTCTTTCATCCCCAAAGCCCAGTGGACAACAAAACGCTCCACCTTTTCCTCTTTGGTTAAAAAAAAAAAACCCGGAAAGAGAAACATCCTTAAGGCAACTACAGCAACTACGTACGGTCTAAATGTGTTAAGTTATAACCAAATCACAGCAGTACAGATGGAGCTACTGCTGCCTTCAGTCCAAACCATCATTTAACACCACTGTCCCACACCTATCTAATAAATAGGGCAAGTCATTTGTGTTGCTGTAGGGGATACAATAGCAACCCTTTGTAAAATATATACATATACTGTGTTTGTATTGGTATACATTCCTCAGAAGAACTACTGAAGCAGGTCTGAGAAGGCTGGAGTAGATGAGTTACACCATCCGTCAAGTTTTACAGGAACGCCAATGGTCTTAAATCCAACGCAAGGAAACTTCACTCCATTGAGTTTAATTCACTGTTTCTGATGTCAAGCATCACAGCAAAGTATTACTGTAATACTCAAGGGAACAGGTTCATCAGGGTTATATTTCTTGACTAAAAACAAATGATTGCCGAATTCATTTTGGCAGGGGAATATTTTTAATAATTAACTTGTGATCTTTCCTGCCCTGGAGTAACCCTGACCAGTATTACACTGGTAAAACGAGAGTTTGGGTATCCTAGTAACACTTCATCTGTATGCAACAACAGCGACCCTTGGTGACCGAGCACAATGGGCCCTAATCCACCGTATGGAGTTCAATTGTCTACAGCAAACATTTGGGGATGCGTTGCATTTACGGGAGTCGCCAAGAGCATACTAACTCTACAGCAGAGCGCTTCTGTGCTTTAAGAAAATGCGTGAATCTTTGCATTAGCTGCTGAGATGTTTAACTGCATCTCCAAGCACAGGTTGGTCCGTTATAGTTGTTAATCGACGCTGGGCAAAGCAGAGCTAATATTAACAGCTCAATTACAGTGGTGTAAAACACCAAAAGAAATCTGATATTCTGCAAACCATTGAAGAAAAGACGACTAAAAGAATGAGAACAGAACAACTGTTTAGTTTACCAAGAGGCCTGTTTTGTAGTGTAACCTACAAAAAATCTAAAAGACACCAGGTAAAGGACACTGAAATTATATTAAGGAACATGATGTGAGCATCCAACTAACTTTGCTAATCAACCCTCACAAGACTCTCCTAAATATGTGGGTGTCATAAGGCTCTATTTGAGTTTAGTTAGGCCTGCTTGAGAAAAAGTGGAAAATTAACATACTGAATGCATAAGAGAAGGAAAATGCAACTCAATTTCTCTTCCCCGAATTCTTCGCACCAAAACACCGCTTCTCTAAGGAACTCAAATTATGAAAGTAATGAAAAATGCATGTCAAATGAAGGCTAATACTGCATTGTAATTGTTCATTTACCTTAAAAAAAAAAAAAAATAGTTCTGTACATAATTACATAAAAAAAACAAAAAAGGTGATCTGACATATGTACAAGAGGGAATTTAAATGGCAACCATTTTAGTTTTGAAGACATTTTCTTCTCTGGCCTATGGCATGTGACCTGGTGCAATGCACACAAATCATCAATACAGGCTAAAAATAATGCAGCCAAGAATCACAGGCTCTATCAAAAGGGGCCTTTTTCATCCCCACTCATCATGAGGATGACGAAGGGAGGAAAGGTAGAGAGAGACAGAGAAGGTTGAGATATGCCCTCCACCTCACTCTGGGGTTCCTGGTTGCAGGATGTGGCTCCTCGTGAGCAGAGAGGGAGGCAGAGCAGATTTTCAAGGCCTCACAGAATGACGTAGGTGAACAGGGCCATGATGGCCGCGCTGATAAGGCCAGAAATGGGCACAGTGACAAACCAGGCCATGAAGATGTTTCTGAACAGTCGCCAGTCCACAGCCTTCCTGGAGCGCAGCCAACCGACAGCCACCACTGACCCGACCTGAAGGCAAAAAAAATTAATAAATAAAAAATAAAAAAAGGAATACACCCTCAACAACAAGCTTCATTCAAATAGCCTCTATCTAGGACTTGATTTGCATTGGTTTGTTTTGCATACAGGCCCATCTTACCTTGCAGTGAGTGGTGGAAACTGGAAGACCAATGTTGGAAGCAACGACAACAGTGACGGCTGAGGCGAGCTCGATGCTGAAACCACTGAAATTAAACAAAGCATTGTTTAGGGAAGTCTGCCAGTTGGGAGGTTGTGTTCTGCACAGCAGGTGCTGTCTGATGTGACAACATGGCTGTGTTTATACCTAGACGGGGTGATGGGGGTCAGGTCCTTGCCCATGGTTTGGATGACTCTACGGCCCCAGACCCACAAACCGACACAGATGCCCAATCCTCCATACAGCAGCAACCAGATTGGAGTTGGTGCATGTGATATAACGGACCCACTCTCATAGACCAGCCACAGGGCAACCAGGGGACCAATTGCGTTACTGAAAGCAAAAGAGAACGTTAAATTGCTTGAAGTGCTTAAGATTATAATGCATTCTTAAATCGAATTTGAGCGCAGTGCAGTTCATTGCATTTGCATTACCTGACATCATTTCCTCCATGAGCAAAGGAACCAAAACAGGCGGTGAGAATTTGCAGGAATTGGAAGAGCATTGACACTTCAGGTCTGTCAGCATCGGCTCTATCCTCGTCCAAAGAACTACGGCTGCTCCCAGCATCATCATCGGCAATCTCCAAAGCAACCTCACCATCACCGAGACCTTCAGGTGCACCATTCTCCGCCACTGCGTTGCAGTAACTCGTGTAGCTGTCCATGCGGATGCGCTTCCTCTCATGAGCTTGCTACAGGAGGCCTTTGTTCACCCCCCGGAGCCGTGTGAGAGACTTTTTTAATGTATGGGCGCTTTTTATTTAACTTCTTTTGGACTGATGCATGCAACACCCGCTGAGTGGCATTAAACGGCTTGAAAGATCAAAGACAATTTTTTTAATATAACTCCCCGACTGGATTCGTCTGAAAGAAGAAAGTCATATACACCTAGCATGACTTGAGGGTGAGTAATTCATGGGCTAATTGAAAATTTTACTTCCCCGTCAACACCTCAGCTGGACCACGGCTATTCCAGTTCACTAGCCAAAGACCAATTATTGGATCACTCTGACCCAATTAGGCTGTCAGTGCACAGCCAGACTATACAGCTTTAGATAAAGACTAGATGACTTGGTTTATTTGTGTTAAAGAATGGTATTACAACAAACAGACCATCCTAACCTAAAGCTGGTATTTCTTGAAAGTGCATTTTGTTCAAATATTTTGCGTGTTTTTGTCCGAACATATGCTTGCCATTAAAATTCAGTTACCGTGAACTGTAACTGAGATAAGGTTGTTAAAATACTTTTTACTACATTCCCCAAATATGATCATCCTCATATACTGAATGAACACAAAATATTTAGAAAAGACTGTTTTCATTACATTTTTCTACTCACTATTTTTGTATTCATTAATTAACGTCTTATTTATATACTTTTATCCATCTGAATTCAATTTTATTGTTTTGTTTTTTCTCATACGTCATCAGCCCGGAGCTGCTTCTGTGTACAACTGCCCAAGCTAGATTAAAGTGATTATTACGTTTTGAATATGGATATTTTTCTTACAAAAACACATCTATTTGCTACAGGAGGCCTTTGTTCACCCCCCGGAGCCGTGTGAGAGACTTTTTTAATGTATGGGCGCTTTTTATTTAACTTCTTTTGGACTGATGCATGCAACACCCGCTGAGTGGCATTAAACGGCTTGAAAGATCAAAGACAATTTTTTTAATATAACTCCCCGACTGGATTCGTCTGAAAGAAGAAAGTCATACACCTAGCATGACTTGAGGGTGATTAATTCATGGGCTAATTGAAAATTTTACTTCCCCGTCAACACCTCAGCTGGACCACGGCTATTCCAGTTCACTAGCCAAAGACCAATTATTGGATCACTCTGACCCAATTAGGCTGTCAGTGCACAGCCAGACTATACAGCTTTAGATAAAGACTAGATGACTTGGTTTGTTTGTGTTAAAGAATGGTATTACAACAAACAGACCATCCTAACCTAAAGACCTAAAGCTTTGAAAGTGCATTTTGTTCAAATATTTTGTGTGTTTTTGTCCGAACATATGCTTGCCATTAAAATTCAGTAATTCAGTTCTGTAACTGAGATAAGGTTGTTAAAATACTTTTTACTACATTTCACAACTAACCAAATAAACCCAGTACTTTTGCATGGCATGTGCAAGGATACAGGAAAATGATAATTTACACAAAGAAAACCCCACATAGAGTTGACAAAGCTTAATTTGTATTGAATTCAGAACATTCCTTTAAAGAGTATATCGTCTTTCTAAGTGACTGATTAAAACTGGTGTCCACCGCCAGCATCTTTAATCTGCAGGGTATTATCCCCAATCCCAATGAACACCTGGTGCTTGGCCTAAGGCTAATAAATCTTTCATGTCCACAGATTTCTGTCCAGACTTTGGTAACAGGGCCTAAAAATTTAAAAAGTGTGTGTGTATAATTTTATATATATATATATATATAATAAATAAAACAAACAAAAGCGATGTATTGTTAAATCTAAGTACAATGCAAAAGAAAAAACAAATCTGTAAAGGGCCCACCCATTTATCGTTCTTTTAATAATCTATTTGGCAACGGTTATGCTACCCAACTGTGCTCTGGAAATGACACCGTGCAACTGGATAGGACTCATAGTTCTATTGCTAATCATTACATACATTTTATGGTTTACATGGTTAAAATTAACACAAAGACTAAAGACAGATACTTACATTCGATCTTCTTCTTGAGCCGAGGGCAGACAACAAACCAAACGATGATAGCGATGACCAGGGCCAAGCCGATGGAAATGAGCAGCACTCCCCACCAGAGCAGCTGATCAAAGCCCAGCACTGCAGTCCCATCATTCACAGGAGGAAAGGGACCAGGAGGGGTGTTGAGGGAGAGGTGGGGAAGAAAGGAAAGGTGCTTTTGAGACAACAAGCAGCATGTGCTACCATCAACAAACAGCATTAGGGAATGAACAGGGACATTGTGGACTGGTTGTTAGTAACGGTGTTGGAGTTAAACATTAAGTCATAATAAGTGGATTTACTTCGTCCAAAAGTTGCTTGCACTCCTTTTGAGGAAATGCATATTCAGAGAATAATACATAGGCCAGCTGCTCCCATTTATCATTTTCAGTTAGAAGACTATTGTGAAAAGCATTTTAAAAAATCGACTTGCTCTACTTGTTTTGGTGTCCATAGAAACGCAAGCCAAAACAACCCCTGCAACCAAGTGTCAAATATCTTAGTCACATTCAGAATGCAAGCACAAGGCCTGTCATCTTATGTAACACTCTCAGGTGAGATGTGAGTGTGAACAGCAGTAAAATGTTTCAGTGACAAGACAGCGCACAAGGCCGCTGTACCATATGGTCAGTAAATGCGGGTGCCTAAAAGGGGTCATAGGATGCCCATTTTCCACAAGTGGATATGATTCTTTGGGGTCTTAATAAAAAGTCTGTACCATTGAGAAATTTTAACCAAACTATGTTAGTGTAAAAAAACAGCTTTTTTCAGAGCAAGTCATTTTTGTAGCATTTTCCCTTAAATGTTAATAAGCTCTGCTGACCCCGCCCCTCGCTTCCGAGCTGCTCTCAGAGAGACGGTTTACTTTAGCTGCATTCATCGTGAAACTTGCTAATTAGCACATTATTAGGAAAGGCGATTTGCAAAGATTCATTACGAAACATTATACTCACTTCTTCTGTAGACGAGGCTGGATCATGAATGATTCGTGCGAACAGACGCATTTAGGCAGATCGGGGGAGCATTCCCTTCAAAAACAAATGTAATCCACTGCGAGTTCAGCGGCTCAGATGTCGGGAGTAAACAACGACTGCTATGTTCATTATTACATCCAACAACAGAAAACCTCAATCGCTTAGGAGTCATTCTTGTCTATATCTGCTCCAGCCATGAAACAATGGCGGACTGATGACCGCTCACTCAGGGCGGGTCTGAGGTAAGACACCAGTCCAGTCTGTGCTGAAACGCTACGGTCAATCAAACTATCGTGGGAGGGGCCTGTCTGTGTGACATCACACAGACAGGCATCTGAGATCGGCTCGATTTGAGGAAGGTGAAAACATTTAACCAGATTAAAAAAAAAACACTGGGTGAATTTTTATCATTATAGGGTGGTTGTGTACACACACTGCCAACACACATTTCAGTTCAAACAACTTGTAAAAGTGCATGTAGCATCCTATGACCCCTTTAAAAGGCTTTTGCGGCAAGATATCCCCCCCACCTCTTTGGGAGGATGGGTGGGGGGAAAAAAATGTTACCACTCCTATAGCAAGGTTGAGCCAAGACTGCGGTGTTAGCTGCGGTGATGAAGAATGCATGCTGCATGCTCAAGGAAGAGTGCTGGCTGAGCAAGTCGGCCATTTACGTATTCCCCACAGGGTCCAAAACCACAGACAGACAAAGAAAGAAATGCCTCAATATAGGTTCACAAGACCAAAAAGGGGGTGAAAAAAAAAAGGTACTAGAAATATTCAGAGTAAGACTTTGTCCAAATGAAACTGAAAAAATATGGCCTTATTAGAGTAGGGCTGTGAAAAATAAACAGAGGTTGAGAGATAAGAGGACAGGGAGCAGTCGGGCATAAACTCCCGTGCCTTGCCACATGCATGCACTACTGCAGGGAATGCTGTGCCGCTGCGTGCTTTGGTTATGCAACTTTAGTTCAATCTCAGGAGACAAGACACAAGGAGCACCACACTCTTTGAATAGAGCACTGAGGTATGTGAGGAACAGCTGAACTTTCCCCAACACCCAAATGACTTGGCAGCATCTAAAGGGACTGAACAGGTGTGGCCAGAGGAGGTGAGGGGGTGAATGACGGAAATAAGAGAAAGGCCAACGAATAGGGCCCAGTTATCAAGTCTGGCAGTCTGGCATGGTTCCTGCTCATGGTGTGAAAATGCAGCCCTGTGCATGCGAGTTAGGCAGGGAATGCATTCATGCTCACATCAACGTAGTCTGACAAACACTCCCCCACAAAAGGGGGAGCAGCCAGACCACAATCATGCAGTGGGATGAATGAATGGAAGTGGCTTCATTTCCTGCTTCACCTCGCAATAAAATGTGCTATCCCATGGCCTTTATTACACAATAACACGAGTTGTTTTTCCAGACACGTTCAGCACTATACCTCATCCTGGTTACGGGATGATGATGGTTTATGAGTCATTGAGGGCCGGGCACTGGTGTTTATGCCAATTATGTCATTTGTGGTCTTTGACTGCCTCGTGTCTGTTCCAAAAGTTCCAAGCATTTTTTTGATAATTAACTGACATCATGAAATAAACTTTTATGGTGTCATAAAATTCTACCTTTGTAGCACCACCAGAATGTTGTTTGGTGTCTGTTGAGACACTCAGTTTTTTGACCCCTGCTACCAATATTAGCACCCACAAATGATTCGGTGTTTTAAATAAAATTTTCTTTTTGACACTGTAAACTGTTTTGAGTCCTGCTGAATAAGTCTGGCCAAATATAAAAACATTCAATTTCAAATCCACAAGTCTGTTATTGCTGCCTTTCGTGTTTGCTTTATATCCCCAGGGAAACCAAAACACCCCACTGTCTGTTTTTCCAAAGGGGAAGCAGACCGGAAAACAAACACTGAAGTACTGGGGGCAGGAGGGTGTAGCCAATCATCATGTTCCTTATTCTTAAATTAGGAATATGAGTAATACAAGTTAAGGCTGGAATACACTATACGACTTTTAAAAATCAGAACAGATTTTAAAACTCTAGGCATCAGACACTTGATGTATCAAATGGTTACAGAAAAATTAAGCATAATACAGTAACTGGGGTTCACGCACTACCATTCTATCAAAACGTCATGAAAGCAATAAACTAATGCAGAAACATGTGCCTCGTTGCTAGGAGACGCACGACAAATGAAAACAACGCATTCTAAAATCGGCTTAAAATGTTAAACAAGTTTGATCTCCTCTGACTGGATAGAATCACAGTCTGAAGTCTGTGCCCATCATGCAGCAGAGTTTTTTTGGGGGAAATATGGCAACTGTCCCTGCCTAAAATCTGCAGACTAGCTCTGACTTTTGGCAACTTGTATAAACTTTCAGAAAAAAAATCTGGGAAAAAAAAGTCATGTTGTTTATTAAGAGAAGTTATTTTAAAAACTAGTTGACTAACTAAACAGAGTAGAGAGGAGAACTAACAAATAATTGTTTGCCTACTCAGATCTCAAATGCTGAGGGCTGCTGGCATTAAAAACAGAAAGAGGGCTTGTGTGTCATCTGTATTTTGCATGGGGAGAACTTTCCAGGCACTGTGGTTGCTGAATGACCATATGTCTGTGTGCTGAAACTGGGAGCAGGGGTGGGTTATAGCACATGATTAACAAAGTGTTGAGAGGCACCATGTTTGGGAAATGGAGTTATTAGAAATGGATCCCCGAAATGATGTGCGTATCACGCTTATATATATCACAGGCCACAGTAGTTTGAATGGATTCAACTTTTTGTACAGTATGTGAGTTGGAGTGTGTTGTCACCATCATACTGCATAAATGGTTAAAACCAGAAAAACAAGGTGTTCCAAGTACCAGCGCAAACACTCCGCTTCAAGGAAACTCGACCTAGTTACATACTGTCTGAAATTTTACAGGGCATGTGTGTCTGTGTTCAGCTCTCTTTAGGAGACAAAGGAGGTCGATCAACAATTCATGACATGCCACATGCCTCAACCCCCCCTGGTGAGTGCTGGTATTGTCCGGTCCTGTCCTGTCCTGGGAGATGCTCTGGATTAAATGAACCTGAGTGAACTGCCTTAAACAGGCTGAGAGTGGGAGGAGTGAAGGGACTGTGTCTGGTGATGCGGTTCCTTTAAAGCTAATCCAACAGCAGATGACATGACGATGTCACTAAGTGAGGCCAAAGATCAGGATAAGCTTATGTTAAGATGTTTCTACTATGACTAACTACATTAACCTGAATTGGTGTGGGAACTTGAGAGGATACATGTCTTTGACCTGGTGCGCTCAAACAACTTACATGACGTGTGTGTCAGCTGATGAATTTGGCTGAAGAGAAAACTCATTCTGATTGATTCAGAGTCCTGAAGTGACACTGGAATGATTAAATGGGCTCTAGAGGACAGCCTTTTAATTTTGAGAGGCTATTAATCTTTAAGGTCATTAGAAATTGTGCTCAGTGTGTCAGATGAAAACCACTACACATTATCTGAATGGACTAAGCATTTAGCATTAATAAGTCAAAAGGTTTTTTTAACAATTAAACTTAATCTTTATTACTTAACTTTAATTTAAGTACTTAACTTAAGGACTTTATTTAAAAACATACTGACTTCCCATAACTAACTTACATAACTATAGACCAGGGGTGGTGAACGTCAGTCCTGGAGAGCCGCAGCCCTGCAGAGTTTTGCTTCAACCCTAATCAAACACACCTGAACAAGCTAATCAAGGTCTGAAGGGTTACTAGGAAGCTATAGGCAGGTGAGTTTTTATTAGGGTTGGAGCGGAGCTCTGCAGGACTGCGGCTCACCAGGACCAGAGTTTGCCACCCCTGCTATAGACTGTCCAAATAATAATAATAATAAAAACTTTCTCTGAAGCATTACATAGTGCATTAGGATGTCTAAGGCCAACGGTATGCGTGTTGCTATGTGAATGCGTGTATGCTGCACCTTGCTGTGCCTATGCAAAGCGCACCCGCCTGGGAGTGCATGCGTGTACACACTCAGAGGGTGCATATTGCGTCATACTCTGGCCTGAAGCCTTCATTTAACGGCCCAGGCCAGTTGAGTTCTTGAATTGTTGAGCCCTGTGGGTAAGAGAAAACAAAAAGGAGCAAAGGTTGCTCATTTAATAGGGTTTCAAATTCAAAAGGCAAAAGTATTGAGAGCTCAACAGTTAACGGCACTTAAAAATGTGGTGCTTTCTCTACTGTGGCTGACGTTTTTTTTTTTGATGGACATGAATTCTTTATTCCACTGTTTTTTTCTCTCCTATGATGGAGAAGGAAAAAACACTGACTGAGATCATGAATACAGGCACCACATGTCCACGTCATGAGTGCTCCACTGAGTTCTCCAGAGCCCACTGGTTAAACACTGCTTTGCCTTATGCACTGTAAACACAGTCTGGCAGAGTCTGGGCATCTGGTTAGGGTGTTAATGGACATGCAAAAGGCAGACATAGAGCGATACTCACTCGGTGCTCCAGTAAACATAATGGAGAACAGGTTGATTCCCATTGTAACAGCGTAGAAGAAAGGCAGGGCCCTCAGACCATTGGGCACTGGATCTTTCTGCAAAGGACAAAGTACACTCTTAGCCAACACCCAGCTTTGGCATGACCTTATAATATTCTTCTTCTACATTCACAGAAAACTGAGTTTAAAGATAAGATCATTTTATTTACCTTTTGCAGGATGAACTTGCGAACAAAGTAGAAAAGAATGGCAGACATTATGCCAGAGAGGACAGGTGAGAGGAACCAAGAAGCAACTGTAAG